TGATAATGCTTGTCAATAAATGCTTCTGCAACATGGAGCATCTCACCAGCTACACCAAAATTTCATTCCAAATGTAAGACACGGAACAAACTTTATATACATATAATAATGCTTTAACATATCCAGTAGATAGAAATATGCATAATCACCTTCCTCCAGCATACTAAATCCAGTGATATATATTAATTATTTTGCAAGTTAAACCTATTTCTGTATATCAACAACTTATTTATCAAGCAATATTTTTTCCTTCGCCAGATAGATTTAACAACTATTTACCAAGTCTAAAATAAAAATCTCAATAGAAACGAGATTGAACAAGAATATACACCAATAAGTAATAAACATATTACTATAGCCCATAAATGAACAGTGAGTTGTTTATAAATAAATAAAGCTCAAACCATACCAAGGACAATGACAGATGTAGTTCCATCACCTACTTCTTCATCTTGTGTGCGACTTAGTTCAATCATTGACTATCATCACAAATTTTAAAAGAGCAAAGGTAAGAATAACAAGAAAATTAAAATGAGGTGGGGGGTCACATACAAAAGTAAGGCGTCATGGAGAAAATTTTATGGTAAAACACAGGGGGAAAAGAAGCAGAAATAACGGAGAGTCATTTTTGTAAGTAAGGCGTCATGGAGAAAATTTTATGGTAAAACACAGGGGGAAAAGAAGCATAAATAACGGAGAGTAATTTTTGCATTGAAAACAAAATTAGATCCAGAAAGGAGCATTTTGAGACAAATATCATGCCTTTGCTGCTGGGTGTGCAATATCTAATTCACGCAGAATGGCATTTCCATCATTAGTCACCACAATTCCTGTTAGCAATGAGGGAAACAACTTTGTTAGCGTATTGCAAACTCATCAAGAACCAGACACAAGCCATAGACCCATGAAATAGATACATGAGGCAACCAGTAACATTAATTTTACTTAATTGAAAATAGAACCACCTTATAAAAACAGTAAAATAACTTATGGATACAAGGTAATGCAATTGCAGCAACAAACATACTGCCACCTACAACAAGGGCTTATTTGGGTCCTAAAATTTGTATACTGCAGACAAAAGGATTACCTCCACCAGCATCAAGTAGCATCTTGAGCATCGATCGAGGACCCAAAGTTGTACGGATTATGTCAGCAACAGCCTGTCATTATCAAAATGCTTAACATTTTCATGGTCATGAGACCCAAAATACTAATAATCTGAAAAAGTAACATTTTTATGCTTAACATTTTTATGAAAAAGTAACCACAAGTGAAACACAAAAATATTTTCTCATAAAGAGCATCCACAACTGAGACGCTTAAATGCTTAGCATTTTTTCATGAGAAAATATTTAACATTTTCATAGTGAGAAGGCTAACACTCATGTTAACCCGTCCAGCAATTAAATTACATTGAAAACAAATATTAAAACACACATTTCAGATGAATTTCATATTAATTCAGTTTTAGGTATAAAACATGCAATTAAAACAGCCTCTTTTTCAGTAAGTCTTTCACCCGGTACTATGCTACATAGACCAAAACAAGGCTCAGACACTACGGCACATGTAAAATAACTCAAATTTAAAGAGTATTTCAAATTTATCTACTCCATTAACATTAGAAAACAAAACCCATTTACAAATTTATTGGATTCTCCAATAAATTTATCTCCAAGACTTAATCACCAAAAATATTATTTTCCCTCGAACGAACAAAACTACGGATTTACACTCTCACACAAAATCAAATGTTTGGATTCATAAAATGGAGTGCCCTTGATCATACCTTTGATGCCTGGATATTACCATGGTGCACCTTAGTCCCAGACTCACGCTTCAATGAATCTTCTGCTCAAATCAGTTGAAACAAGCAAGATCAGTGAAACTAAGCAAATGGGCTTTCAATGTAACTTAAATATAATCCTCAAAAGCAGCAAACAACACAAAAACCTAAGCTTTTTCGCATACCCAGATAAAAGACAGATTCAAAACCTAAACTTTAAAGTAACTGCAACTTGAAAAGGGCAAAAAGAAGAGGAAAGGAAGCTTACTCAGGACGAGTACTGGGGCTTGCATGGTGATGTTGAGATCTGTTTGAAACTGTTGAGTGTGTGAGGAAGAGGGAAGACGAGTTCAGAACACTCTCGAGAGGTTTTTATGCGAGGGAAACGCCGAAAGGGAGTAAAAGGTTTATAATATTGACCCCTGTCTGCTCCGAACAAGTTCAAGTGGGCTCTAGTCTCTTCGAATTTTGGGCTGGGTCAGGCTGGCCCACGAAGAAAATTGTGGTGGATCTTCGAAATTTAGAGGAGTGCATCTATATTATATATAAGCAGACGCAGAGAAGAAAATGCTTTTTTTTTTTTTTTTTTCCTTATTATCGGTGGGGAGTGAAACGGATGTCCTTTACGATTGAGGGAAAGGGATGGCCTATTTTTTGCTTATTGCTTATTTCTTCTATGTTTTAAATAGGGTCATACTAAAATATCGAGAGAGGTGGGGAGTAATCGCCCTGATCAGGTGTACCCGAGATAGGTGGGGAGTAATTGCCCTAATCCGGACTTGTATTAAATAGGGTCATACTAAAATAGGTCCTTGTAACTCAAAAATTCTATATAATAATCCAACAATAATACAACATTTAAGTACACCCAATTTAAAAATTGGATGACAATGTGTCCATGTAAGTTGATTTATTTACAAATCATGCCACTAGATTTTTATTTAATGGCTGACTTTTTTACATTCCCTAATTTTATGCAATTGAATAATACACACCTCTCAATGCAAATTTATGTTTGCACTCCTATAATAATGGGCTACAATAAAATTAGTTCAAGTACTCCCTCCTAACCTCCTATAGCTCGGATAAATGTTTTGTAGTGCCATGATTTGTAATTTAGTTAATAATACTAGGACAAATTTATCTCAAATGGAAACCTATATTTTAAATTTGGGTTTTCAGTAAAGATTTAAAAATATGTGGGTAAATGACTAGAATATAGTAGTTGTAAGGGTCTATATCAAATACTCCCTCCTAAACTCCTACCCACAGATCTGGTGGCATGATTTAAATTGGGCACAATTTAAAAGCCCCATAAAATACGTTGAATTGCAAATAGGGCTAATTTTGGAATCTACAAATTACAATAAGTTTGAAGGGGGAAGCCAAATTTACTATATTAAGAATAAATATTAGGTGGCAGTGTTTTTCTCTCTCTTTTAATTCAATTATTACCCATCTTTCATTTGTCAAACACCATATGGATATATGTTCGTACCACTTTGCAAAACCCAAGGGAAGGTGTCGTATAGTAGTGTAGCTCGGAAGTTCGATTCCATAGAGAGCGGTGTAAAGAAAATAACAAAGATGAAAAAGAACAAGTGTGATTGAGAGGTAGATTTATGCAAGATTTGATTTAAAGAAAATTCAATTGATTAAAACACTAAGGCATTGGGGTTTCACTTTTAACATAAACATGCAACTCTTAATAATTTGATCCACAAAATATTTTCCAATATAGTTGTTCAATATAATTAAAGCTCTTTTTAATTTCCTTTAGAAGTATTCTAAGCATAACTTGTACCATTGGCAACATACTATCAAAAAATAATCTTCATCAAAATTATATTAATCTTTTGTAATTCTCTTCTCTTTTAAAAGCATGAAAGTTTTTACTACACAATGGGAAAAACATGATTGAACCCATGAAATAGATTATCAAACATTCATCAATTAATTAAAAAAAGAAAACTACAAATTCCATTTGAACAAAAACTACAAAATGACATTAAAGCTTAAGTTTGGATCAAACTAATGAAAATTACATACTCATATTAAAAGCTTTCCCCCTAGCCTTAGCTAGGGAGTTAGTTCCCCATAAAATACATAAAACTTAAATAGAAATTTAGAACTATAAAGATGGAGGAAGGAGAGAAAGCTCAAGAGTTGTGGAGCTTGGTGTGTGCTTTTTTTGAAGCTTGAAGACTTCTCTATTTATAGGGCTAAGAGGGAGGAACATCATGATGAATTCCAACACCACCATTCCTCTTTTAATACAATCCATAACTCCCACTTCATCTTGTCTATGTTAGTGTGGCACTTCATGCATTCTTTTCAATTCTTTAGCTACTGCACCTCAAGCTTTCATCACATGGGTATTCAAAGATGTTCAATTATGGATGCCTTTTGCTGCCAACCCATGTGGGTTTTCTTTTGGTTGCTGGAAAAAACGATTCTTCTGAACCAGGCTTGGTATAGGAAGGCCTGAGGTTTCAATATGTATCCAATGGGGCTAAAATTTGGATATGTCATAATAGACAGCCATTGGAACAACTTTTATGAAGAATGTATTCCCATCTGAGCAGTACAAGGGTACGTTTTGGGCCTTGCAAGTTGACTGCCGAAAATAGACTGGAATTGGCTTCATTTCTTTTCTTTCTTTTCTTTTTGCTTCACATGCATGCACATTCTTTCTCCTTAATAGCTCCAACATGCGCCTATATAAAATCATGATATTAGAATAGAATGTAACAATTATTGCCCAATTGATAAGAGTTTGGGTGCCACTTCAAAGAGAGAGCTATCAAATAGAGAATTCAAAAGAATTAGCCTATATTTCAATGAAGTGCCAATGGATTCGTAAAATGCAATGGAACATTCTAATTGGTGCAAAAATCAATAAAACAAAGTACTAACAAATATAGATTAGGGATAGAAATTGTAATAATTATGTGTTTATCAATATAGATGTAAGTTTTTTCATATATTTTGTGAGTTTGCCTTTTCATTATTATGAGGTGTCATATAAATAATAAATAGAGTTATTTTAAAATTAAGATATTATGATATTTTTATTCAGATAATGACTAAATGGAATAACTATTGCAGGAGGTGGATATCATCCATTATCTCCACGTTTTGGCTACCAGTTGTCTCTTAATAGGAGAGTGTTGTAAAGAAACTTATATAAAAGCTAGGCTTGGTCTCTGCTCTCATATTCATACGTTCATATTATGTATGCTTGTCCTATTGTAAGCCTTGACATTCGGGAATACTGAGAGGAGAAGATCTTCTTGTGTATTTGATTATGGCTAATTCAAGTAAGTCTTATCTCTAATCATTCTTTTGTTCAATTGTCTTTCTGAGTGAAGATATGCTTTAAGTGCTCAATTGGTTTAGAAATATTTTGCATAGTAAACTCTTGCAATAGAAACCAAAGTCTTGTAACTCGATGGGAGGAAATTTTTTCCTTCTTTCTTTGGAAATTGGATGGATAGATGAGGCATGGATATATGGCCTAAGGGTTGTACAAGGAAAACTAAAAGGAAAGAAGTTAGAGTTTTCCAATGGATCATGTGAAAAGTACAACTATTTCGAGCCCTATAGCTAGTTTCTCCAATACATAGGGTACTTGTTTATAGGGTGAGAGAATCTGTTTAAAGGAAAAAAAACATGCGTTTTGATTCACAACTCTATAGCCCGTTAATGCATCTATCCTTGTCATAGAGGGTGAGAGAATCAAACATCCATGTGCTGATATGTATTTGGACCAGCTCTAGGGATGGCAATTTTTCCTACGGGTAAAGGTCTTCGCAGGGATTCGACCATAATGGGTTGGGTATGAAGGATAACAAACGGATATGAGGACGGCTATGGGGAATTTTTTGGGTATGGTGTTCGGAGAGGAGCAAGGATGATATTTGAATCCCCGACCCGAACCTTCCCATTTAGAATATATATATATATATACAGTTATTCTCTTATCCGGATGTCCGCACGTTATTATCGTGCGGATCCTATTGTAAATAGGCAGGAAAACAGAGAGGGGTAGCACAAAATACACGGCGTCCGCACGATAATAACGTTCGGATGTCCGCATAAGAGAATTTATATATATATTATAGTATATATAAATATGCTATTAAAGTGATTGTGCCGATTAAGTTTTATATTTCGTATTATTATATTATATATTTATATGAATCTTAAGCCATACTAATTATATATTTAGTTAACTTCTAGTCAATATTTAACATTCTTATATTGTCTTATACGTCGATATTATATAAATTCATTATCCTGTTCTAGTCCTATTTTTTTCTTCCAACAAAGTAGTTATATTGGCCAAAATTTGGTGCAGCGTCTCTGTTTTCACCACTAAATTTGTCTAACTTAGAGCCACCGGCATTCCCACCCGCGGAAGGCGCTAAAGAAAAATGCATGACAAGGAGGTTTGTGCTTGATGCCACAAAAATTGCTGCTCTCCAGTCAAAAGTAGCCAGCTCAGCTGTGCCAAAACCAACAAGAGTACAAGCAGTATCAGCACTCATTTGGAAATGCAAAATTCAAGCATCATCCATATCATCATCATCAAACATGTTGGGGACTAGTCTAATAAGGCCATCAGTCGTCTCTCAGCCTACGAACATGCGTAAAAACACAGTGCCGCCATTGGCAGAAAACAAGGTAGGGAATCTAGTGGATTTTTCAACAGCACACTACTCTCACTCTGGAGAGAGTACTAGTGGCATAGATTTGGAAGACTTGGTAGCAAAAATCGGGGAAGCGCTTGAAGAGATGAAAGAGCATTGTGCTATGAAAGTAGTATTCGATACTGGCGAAGCATGGAAAAAAAAGAAAGAGTACATAAACCTGGTAAAAAATGATGACATAGACAAATATGTGTGCACAAGTTGGTGTCGATTTCCATTTTATGAAGCCAATTTCGGATGGGGAAAGCCATCATGGGTGAGTTTTGTTCCTGTTCCAGTTGACAATATAACTAATTTGATGGACAAAAGAGATGGCAATGGAATAGAAGCGTGGGTGAATCTGAGACAAAAAAAGATGGCCTTATTTGAAAGCAACGAGGAGCTGCTTGCATATGCTTCTCTCAATCCTAAGGTCACCTACTGAGTACTGATAACAGAGCTAGCCAGCCATTAGTGCTGTTCTCTGCCCTGGACTTCAATTTGTTTTATCAATAAAATTTTAGGCTAGCTTATTTTCTAGCTCAATAAAACAGTTGTACTGTTGGAAACTTCGAATAAAGTAAATGTCAGAGTTGACCAAGTTTGAATGATTAGTTATGTTTAGCATTAATGGAATGTATTGTGAAATCTATGACAATACCAGAAGTTCAAATTTCTACTCTACAATCTCATGTAGCCAGTTCAGGTCTTCCCAATTCCTACAAGCGTGGATGCTGAGCACTCATAATAAATTATTAGTAACTAATATGAATGGTAAACACTAATGCTACGGACACCAAATTTGAATCTAAAATAATGCGTCCACTGATTTCACACCACCACCATCGTATAAAACCACCCGAACACCGCCATGCTGCACCACCACAGCTGAAAATATTCCCGCTGAATGCTCCACGATTGAAAACGAGTCGTAGTTTCATGTGCTTTTGGTAGGATATTCATGCCTTTATTTTTTGACCTAAGAAACAACACCCTGGTTTTCTCTAAAACCCATACCACAATGACATGAATCATACCAAAGGACATGAAACTATGAATCGTTCAGAAGAAATAAAAATAAAGTAATGATATTAAAAATGTGAGATTGATGGTGATGTTCAAATCGTCAGGTTCCAATATGTCGATCTTGAACACCAAGAAGAACTTCTTGTTTTGATCGCTTCCAATTTACAATCAATAGTTTGAGAAGAATGAAGAATTGGAAATCTTAGAATTAGGGAGATTAAGTTGTTGGGGGGATGGACTATTATAAATGCTACTCTTACCACATTTGTATACCACATTTCCATACCACCTTATGTGGCAGATGAAGTAAACAACCACATCAATTAATTGAAAAGAAAATAAAAGTGTCAATAAATCATACAAGAAAAGAAAATATTAAATTAATTTTAATTGATGTAGCTGTCCACCTCATTTGCCACATAAGGTGGTATGAGAATATGGTATACAAATGTGGTAAGAGTAGCATTATTCGTAGTTTATATATTAGAATATTAAATTTCCAACATGGATTGCTACAACTACCTCCCACAGAAGTAGGTAGTTGTTCAATGTAAAATGATGGCCTCTTCAATGTGGTTGTAAGGCAGCCCATGCATGATATTGTTTTCCACCGTTACAGAATTTACGATCAAGTTATGGCCACATAATTCATCAAGGTTTAAATCTTTGAGAGGCAGACAGCACCGGGGCTTGTGCCTACATAGTATTAGTTATATTCAATTCACTGCAGAACCATCGATCCAACTCACATTCTACTTGCATCACTTGAGCAAAATGGCATCACAAATCAAGGTTGAAATTTTGGCGAGGCAAACAGTTAGACCCTCCTCCCCACCTCTTCATCACCTTAGAAACTATGAGCTCTCTCATTATGATCAGAGCGATCTTCAAATCTACGTCCCACTCCTTCTCGTCTATCCAAATGCTGATGCTACTACTAACAATGAAAGATTTCAGCATCTACTGCAATCCTTAAGTAAAACACTCACTCACTTCTACCCTTTAGCAGGAAGAATCAAAGGTGATGCTGTGATTGAATGTAACGATGATGGAGCTGAATTTGTGAGAGCCCGAGTCAAGTGCTCCTTATCGGAGATTTTGGAGCACCCACAGATGCCAAGGTTTTAAGACGATTCCTTGCTATTGAACCCGAGTCCAGAGAATCTGCCACAGGCACAATGCTTCGTGTTCAAATCAACTTGTTTGAGTGTGGTGGAATGGGAATTGGGTTTAGTATTTCTAGTAAGTTTGCTGATACCTCAACACTGAGCACATTCATCAATTGTTGGAGTGCAACAACCCATGATGAGTCAAATAAGTTAATGTTTCCCAAATTTGGTGTGGCGTCTCTGCTTTCACCACTAAATTTGTCAAATTCAGAGACATCACCATTCCAACCCGATGATGCCGTTAAAGAAAAATGCATGACAAGGAGGTTTGTGTTTGATGCCTCAGAGATTGCTGCTCTCCAGTCGAAAGTAGCCAGCTCAGTTGTGCCCAAACCAACAAGAGTAGAAGCAGTTGCAGCACTCATTTGGAGATGCCAAATTGAAGCATCATCCAGATCATCATCGAACATGTTGGGGACTAGTCTAATAAGGCCATCCGTTTTCTCTCACCCACGTAAAAACGCAGTGCCGCCCTTGCCAGAAAACTTGGTTGGGAATCTAGTGGATTTTTCAATAGCACACTACTCTCACTCTGGAGAGAGTACTAGTGTGATAGATTTGAAAGACTTGGTTGCAAAAATCAAGGGAGCGCTCGAAGAAATAAAAGTGCGTTGTGATACAAAAGTAGTATTCGATTCTAACAAACAATGGCAAAAAATGAACGAGTACATGAACATGGTGAAAAATGATGACATAGTCAAGTTGGTGTCGATTTCCATTTTATGAAGCCGATTCGGATGGGGAAAGCCATCATGGGTGAGCTTCGTTCCTGTTGAATCTAACAATGTAACTGTTTTGATGGACAAAAGAGATGGCAATGGAATAGAAGCATGGGTGAATCTGAGCCAAGAAAACATGGCCTTATTTGAAAGCGACGAGGAGCTGCTTGCATATGCTTCTCTCAATCCAAGGGTCACCTACTGAGTACTGCTAAGCTAGTCATTAGTGCTGTTCTCTGTCATGGCATTCAATTTGTATTATCGATAAAATGGTCGGCTAGCTTTTTATATAGCTAGCTTAATTTTCTAGCTCAATTGTACCGTTGAAAACTTGGAATAAAGTAAATGTCAGAGTTGACCAAGTTTGAAAGATTAATTTATTATGTATTAGCATTAATGGAATCAATTGTGAGATATTCTATGATTGTACCAAGGAATTATTAAACAGTAGCTCAAATTTCTACTCTACAATCTAACGGAGCCAGTTCACTTGTTCCCAATCCTTACACAGAGTGGATGCGATTTCAGCACTCAAATGTATTAGTAACATTATGAACGCTAAAAGTAACATTATGAATGGTAAAACAGTAATGCTAATATTTCCGCTGCACCTAGCCTATACACCTAAACCTGTCCGCCTATACACCTAAGCATGCGCCGTCTCATATCTCTTACTATTGTCGTCGCCACACCTAATCTTCTGCCGCCATCACCATCTATCACCATGCCGGATGTCACTGAATCTTCTTCTTCTACCTCTATTGCGACGGTTCATATTGAATTGTCCACCAATCTAACCATGGGATTCAAATTGAATGGATCCAACTATGAGACATGGGCTTCGATGATCTAACTCCATGCTACCGCACAAGGCAAATTGGGTTACTTGATTGGCAACATTGATGCCCCTGATTCCCAAGACCCACTATTTGGGAAGTGGAAAATTGCTGATGCTATTGTAAAAAGTTGGATGCTGCGAACTATGGAACCTAGTTTGTTGAATATGTTTCATACTTTACCGATTGCTAAGGAAATTTGGGATGATGTTAATGAGATGTTTTATGATGGCTCTGACATATCCCAGCTCTATGAACTACGGTGCCAGGCTACCCGTATCAAGCAAGAGAGTCGTCCTGTCTCTACCTATTTTGCTGAACTTTAGACAATCTGGCTTGAATTGGACAAGAGACGTCATTTTCGGACGAAGTGTGCTGATGATATGAAGACTTTTCAACCTGCTGTTATGGCAGATTGTATGTATGATTTTATGGTCCGTCGTGAGGCTCAATGCCAAATTACTATGCTTGGATCCGGCACCAAGATTGGGGAACCTGCTATTGTGTTTGCTTCTAAAAACACTGCTCTGGTCTCTCGACCTACAGGGTCTGGCTCTTCTGTCATTCCACCTCGTCGCTTGACTTTTGCAAAAAAAGACAAACTGAAGTGTGATCATTGCCTATGATACACGCAATACAGGTTGGATTATTGATTTAGGAGCTATTGACCATATGACGTATAATTCTGCTTTATTCTCTACTACTTTCCCTCCTCATCGTGATCATGTTTTGACTGCTAATAATGTTGCTGCTCCTGTCACGGGGACTGGTTTTATACTCTTGACACCTGCTTTATCATTAGACAAAGTGTTACTGGTTCCATATTTGTCTAGTAATTTATTTTCTGTGTCACAAGTTACTGAGCAATTAAACTGCATTTTACTGATGTATCCGTCTTTTGTCTTACTACAGGATATCCAGACTCGAGAGATCTTTGATCATGGTACTAAAAATGGGGGGCTTCATTATGTGGATGACGTGGAAACTAGTCGAATCCTTCATGATGGTAGCACCTAAACTTCTCAGTATCGCCGGATTTGGTTGCTACATTGCCGATTTGGTCATGCCTCCTTTGGATATTTACGTCATTTGTTTCCTGCATTATTTAGTGGTGTCAACGAGTCTGCTTTCAAATGTCAGACTTGTATTTTAGCTAAGAGTCATCAAATATCCTATCCTCCGAGTTGTAATAAACAGCTTATGCCATTTGATTTAGTTCATTCTAATGTTCAAGGACCTTCCCCTGTTTCTACAACCTTGGGAGTTTGCTGGTTTGTGTTATTTGTGGATGATTGCACTCATATGATGTGGTTATATGAGATGAGATATAAAAGTGATGTGGTCGACATCTTTCAGTATTTCTATAAGATGATTTAGACTCAATTTATGCTCCATATCAAGATTTTCGATCTAATAACAGTGGAGAATTTGTTAATTCGGCGTTATCCCATTTTTTTCACACTAAGTGTGTACTCCATGAGACTACTTGCCCTTGAACACCACAACAGAATAGGGTCGCTGAATGTAAAAATGGCCAGATCCTTGTTGCTGCCCGTGCTCTACTGCTTGGTGCGTCAGTTCCAAAGCGGTTCTAGATGGATGCTATTACCTATGTAGTCTATCTCTTGAATCATTTACCTTCACGAGTTCTGGATTTCCGAATTCCTATGCAGGTACTGACCCATCATATCTCTG